TTTATTTATTTATTTATTTATTTATTTATTTATTTATTTATTTATTTATTTATTTATTTATTTAATCACCCGTGCTAGAATGTGGGGGTACTCAGAAGATCTGAACCTCCGAAAATGTAAATGGATTACATGTCTGGTGATTTATTCATAACGTTATCTACTAAATTGTATTTTCTACTCTTTTGCCCTATATGTGTTTGAAGCGCATTTAGTGGGTTATATTCTATCCTAATGTAGGAAATTTACAGAAATTTGTATATTGTAAAAGGAATAATTATTTCCACTCACTGCTTACTATAGATACCCAGTATGTTCTTAATAGATGGATATTTAAAGATGAATGACAATAATTTTTAATAAATCAATAAAATAATAAAAATATTTGTCGTGGTTAAGGGTTAAATACGTTCATACTCAGAACATATTTACCCGTTAATATCTCTTACTTGTCGGTGTTACAGACGTGACGTAAAAGCGGTGAAGTATTTTCTGACGGAAGAAAGACACTAATTACTCTTTGTAAGTAGCAAGTTGGTGGCGTTGAACCAATAAGTCTTACGCCTGCTTCTTTGCGCGACAGACTTGACGCAGGAGCACTTGGTGGAGCTGCTGGCGGCGGCGGCGGGCGTCGGGGCTTCGAGTTCTCCCGAGTCCACGCTGAGGTTCCTCAAGGCTGCCCTTTACGACTCGGGGGACATCGCAGTCTTCGTCGACGGCGTGGACGAGATTTGCCCTTCCTACAAGGACAAGCTCGTCCGACTCTTGGAGATGTTGCTGGAGACAAAAGCGCGGCTTGTGTGGGTCTCGTCTCGCCCGGAGGTAAGAAAATGAATTCGACTTCTCTCAAGTTGTCTCATTCTTGTTAGTTGTATTATGTCACATAAGAAGAAGGAGAGAACATGGAGAGAAAAATGTATTACCATGACATATTTCTAAATAACTAAAAATAAAATTAGGAAATCTTCCAAAAGAGAGGAGGATTTATATTATTTATATAAGATTTATATTGTTACGGACGTTATACCCTAAATTGTTACGGATGTTACACATGACAACTCGAAGGAAGATATCCCATAAAGTTCTCTTAAAAACATTGAAATATATTAATATAAGTAATTACTGTAATTTTATATTGTTTTCTTTGGAAAAACAACTTGTATTTTCTTTCCTTCTGAGTTCTTAGTAAAGCTTACCATAAAGTATTTCTCATCAAATATCTCAAAATTATGAAAGTCTCTACTCAAAGGTGTTTCGTTCACTGATTCTCATCTCGTGTTTAGAAAAAAAACTTGTACCTTCAACATCATATTTTTGCATTCAATGTAATAACACGTGTCGCGTTTATTTATCATGCAAATCTCACTTTTGGTACTATAGCATCTCATCTCGAGGCTTGATTAGTGGGTTAATAAAAAATCACAAATGTGGAAAAGGCTGAATTCGGGGTATTTGTGAGTCTTCATATGGTCAGAGCACAACTAGCGAAACTTATAACGAGGAATTATATTTTTATATTTTTCCACGTAAAGTGCTCGGACTTCTGACGTTCATTCACAGCCCTAGTTCGAGCAGATTGATCCCGACTTCCCGTCTGGAAGAGGCCAATAATGTGCTTATGCTCGGCATGTGGTTACTTGGGGTTCCTCCTGAAGGTCTGATGTTTTTGCCGTACAATTGTAATGGTCTTCATATATCAAATAAAATGAAATTAATAAAAATATTTGTGTGGAATGGATATTTTTGCTGCATACATGGGTAATGATATAGTTTGATGTAATGAATCTCTTATCTCAATGAATTTCAGCACTATTTGTTAACGTATGAACAATTTAAATGTGTTTCTTTGTTTTAAGTCTTTCAAACTCCTACTCATAATTCGTCATTTTTACTTCAGGCTGCGTCTGCGCTCACTAAGGCGTTACGTTGCGCGACATCTACCCTTCGCCCGTTCTCCGAAGAGGAGCAGAAGAACCACCTCTGTGGACACTGGTCGTCTGTCGACCCACGCAACCGCCCCCCTGCGGCGTTCGAGAGCCTCGCCGCCGAGATGGTGGCAGCCCTGCATGGCGCAGCGGGGCGCGGCCAGCGCAGCCTGCTGGACGTCCCGCTGCACGCGCAGATGGCGGCGGAGGCGTACGCAACGCAGGCGGCACGGGCCCTGGGCACATGGGTCAGCCTGCTTCCGCAGTCCGGCATCAGTCTCTACCAGCTCTACCGTCGCTTCGTGGAGAGGAAGAGAGACTTGTTTGAGAGGCGCTTTGGGCTGAAGGATGCAAATTTTACAATTCTGCCTTATGGAGACAACTTTGAAGAAGTTCACCAAAACTGCGCTATGCTCATTCTAGTGAGTTACTAAAAAAACTTTATATTAGTGATATATTTGATTAAAAAATACTATAATATTGTAACGTTTCTTATTGGTGGATTAAAACACACAGTAGGATTATTACGAACGGTAAGATAATATTTTAACAAAGACGTTTAATTTGTTTCTTAATGATACACTAAAATACTTGATTTATTTAAAGATAGGTTGCACTGTCCTTGTGTTCTTCACTTGGTTATTTCTTTACACACGACTCACTTATCATGGTTATTTATTTACACCGGTTACTTCTTCTACACAATCGCACAGTCCGATGCACTGTCCACGGTCCACTGCGCTGACTACAATTCACTGCGCAGACCGGCGCTGATCAGGGTCCACTGCACTGCTGTTCACCGCAATGCACACTTCACAGCTCAGCTCCCGACTTCAGGCTGCTGTTCACCTACTGTACCATTGTTCACCGCAATGCACACTTAACAGCTCAGCTTCCACTTCAGACTGACTTAGACTGCATACTCTCAATGACGGACGGAGTGACTGCTTACTCACTGACTACATACACTGACTGACTCGCGGCTGCTCACTGCCAGCGGCCGCCGGCAGTGGCAAATTTATACCTGGCTGGTGACCGCCTCGAGCCATCTGGAAGTTGCGTCACACGTCTACGCGACTCGCGACTAACCAGAAACTGTCCAGTTCGGGGGGCGCCGGCAGGTGACGCAATCCGCGCAGTGAATCCCGGCCGATGATGCAATATTCGTTACAATATATTTTGGAAAAAAAAATATTTTCTCCAAAATTAGTCAAAACACTATCACATTTCGTTCAAATATTGCTAAAAAAGGATCATTTGTATAAATGAATAGCTGTTTAAGAATAAAAGAAGATTGCGTTATTACGAGTTTTCAAAACGACGAATTTTGAGTTTTGAAATTGAGTAATGTAATATAATTTGTTAAAACTTCAATGAATATTATGTTTAGACAAATTATTGTCTGTATGTTTTGCCGAATGTACTGCATGAGTACCTAAAGACCACAAAACACGGACGTTTCTTTGCAGGTCTCCGATGGTACATTCAGCAACGTTGACTCCTCGTCATTCAGAGACTACCTAGACAAAAACAGACATAATCTTAACAAAGAGAAAACAGGAATCTTATGGTTGGGAGATGAAGAAGTTGAAATGCCGCATTTCCTGCATTACACCTTTATCGAATATTTTGGCGCGTGCTGGCTGTTGGAAAACCAAGAGAAAGTGTCCGAGGTTGCAAAGGAGGTGTGGCTTCGCCTCCTGGACCGCGATGTGGGCGTGGGGGTGAGGCACATCCTGGAGCACATGCTGTCGGACGGCCTCCCACTGCACCGGGCCGTGCTGGAGGGCAGCGAGGGCGCGCTGGAGGCGGCGCTGGAGGCTGGAGGCGACGCCGACGAGAGCGACCGCTTCGGCCGCACGGCGCTGGTGCAGGCGGCGTCGCTGGGCCGCGCCGACGCCGTGGTCGCGCTGCTCGCCAAGGGCTGCGACCCCGGGCGCAGGGACGCGCTGCTGGGCTGGACGGCGCTGCGCTACGCCAGTGCCTGCGGCCACCTCGAGGCGGCGGAGCGACTGCTGCGAGGGGGCGCCGACCCCGACCACTTCGTGTCTCACAACATGAACATCCCTGACACTGTGCTCGAAGCGGCAGAACTAGATTACTCAGAAGTAAGTAAAAGTCACATTTCTTCAAAGAATCTACAAACGCTAATATATTATACATTAGCAGTGATTTATTCACATTATAACATTTATGAGTACATGTCTTTTAAATAATTTCAAATAATATTTCTTGAAAACTGAACAGTTGCCTGGAAAAATGAGCAGAAAATTCCGCATTTTCAGAATCACTCAAACGCAATTTTCTCAAAAATGGCTCCAACTGTTTTTCTTTAAAGTTTTCCAACGGGTAATGCTTATTGAACTGTTTAAAATGACATAAAGTTCATATTGGGGTATTGTTTTGTTTTAAAAAAATTACGCAAATGTTTTTTTAATATCTCTCAGGCCGTTAATATGCACATTTCCAGCGATTGGTAAACACTATTGCATTTGTGAGTTTGTGTCTTAAAATGACTTTAAATAAAGGTTTTCGAAAACAGAAAAAACATCTGGAGTGAAAAAAATCGCATTTACAGTAACTATTAAATGCCATTTTCTTAAACACGCCTCCAATTTTTTCAGTGAATACTGACATTTAGAGCAGGGTTTTACTTTTCTTTAATATTCTTAAAGTAATATTTTAGTTCCTCTGTTCGCAAACCGAAAAATTGAGAAAATGTCAAAAAAGTACTTTGTGCGGCGATAGATGGCAGCTTGCAAAAGGATGAGACACCACTAGTTTGTTGTTGATCTTTGCACTTTTCGAAAAAAGTATGCTGAAATGGGACTAGAGCACTCCCCTTCACTGTTCCATGATACATGCCAGGAAAAAATTAAAAAAAAAGTTTTCAATCATTCTTGACAAATGGTTAAATTATTGAGGCTTTAGGTAAATAACCCAAAAAATCGTCAAAGTATTTGATTTTTTTTCAATGTTGCCGATCGTGTTGATACAGACAGACAGGCGGACGCTTTGAAATAAAAAAAAATACAATACTTTTTTCGGTATCAGGGGACCACGAAACGTGTATTTCTATTGAAATCGCGAAATCGATTTTACGCATTACATAACTTTGTCTATATTGTGACGGTACTTCGCCGCATAAATTATAATAATTTATTGTTTGAGTACCTCTTGGTAAGGAGAAGTCAGTGATGGAGACTACATGTGAAGAAAACGCTACAGTTTTTCAATGAATAGGGGGATTTTAAAACGTCAAACAAAACAAAAGTATATTACACAATCAGTTAATTACGAGTCAAATCACATTTCAAATAAGAAAATCATTCCCCTACCGTTTGATAATTAATTATTTTGTTACTTCTCCTAATAAATGAGATTATAAATGGAAATTACAAGCAATATCGTAAGATTCGATTACTCTGTATTCAATAAACGACCCTAAAATTAAACTTTGCTAATAGTTATTTCATATTACTTCCACTTTAACTTATAAAAAATTTACATTAACTGCCCTCCGAAATAAATTTATTCTAATTTTACAAGAGTTTGACTTTGTAGAAATACACGTTCCTTATAATTCAACGGCTAATTTTGTAGCAAATAAATTTAGCAATTTTTCCTTAAAATCTTATTAATAGTAGGAAAAGAAATTACGATCGTCTTTATAGATCACGCAATCTAAATAGAAAGTATTTATGCTTTTCACAAAGGAGATAAATTCAACACTTATTAAATTCATAATAAAATATCAAATAAATGTAGCATTTATGAAATGTACAAATTATCATTTTTTTTCAGATATTGGATATTATCTTAAACAAAGTATGCGGAACATGTACAGACATCCAATTTCAATGGAAAGGAACGCCAGTGATAATAGCAGCAAAATGTGGACACACGAAAACTGTACAGATTTTATTGAAGAACGGTGCGAATGTGATGGAAAAAGACAACTGTAACAGACAACCCATTCACTACGCAGCAAGCGGTGGAAAATCCGAGATAACAAAGCTGCTCCTCGAAAGTAAAGCTGATCCTAATGCAGACGACATGGTGGGCGTTACTCCGTTAATGTGTGCTGCGAAGTGTGGTGACGTAGAATCCACGGACCTTCTTTTAGTTCACGGAGCCGACGTCAGTAAAAGGAATAAGCGCAACAGGACAGCACTTCATTACGCTACGAAGAAAGGTCATGACCGGATTACGAAGCTGCTCCTCGAAAGCAAGGCAGATTACAACGCAGTAGACAAAAAGGGCAAAACTCCGCTAATGTTGGCAGCAAAGTTAGATCACGCAAAATGCACGGAGCTCCTATTACAACAGGGAGCCGACGTCAACCTAAAGAACAAGAGCTGCTGGACCGCGCTCCATTACTCCACCTGCAGGAGTCATCGCCAGATCACGAAGCTCCTCCTGGAAGGCAAAGCTGACCCCAACGCGGTAGACAAAGAAGGCTTCACTCCGCTAATGACGACAGCGGAGGCTGGCGATGCGAAATCCACGGCGCTGCTCTTGCAACACGGAGCGAACGTCAATCAATGTGACAACGGTCAGTGGACAGCGCTCCATTACGCTTCTATGAGGTGCCATCACCAGATTGCGAAGCTGCTCCTCGAAAGCAAAGCTGATCCAAACGCAATAGATGAAGATAGCGTCGCTCCGCTAATGATAGCAGTATTGGTGGGTGATAGGCGATTGACAGGTCTACTCCTAAAGCATGGAGTCGACGTCAATAAAAGGAACAAAGACCAATGTACAGCCCTTTATTACGCTACAAAGTATCGTCATAACAAAATTGCGAGGCTCCTCCTTAAAAGCAACGCTGATCCTAATGCTGTAGGCAAAGAGTGTGTTACTCCGCTAATGTTGGCAGCAGCGTCAGGTGATGTACAAACCGCCAAGCTCCTCTTGGAACACGGAGCCGACGTCAATAAAAGAAATATTAGAACCTTGACGGCGCTCTATTTGGCTACAATGAATGGTCATCACCAGATTACGAAGCTGCTCCTCGAATGCAAAGTAGATGTTAATGCAGAAGCCAGTGACGGCTCCACACCGTTAATGATGGCAGCAGAGAAAGGTGATGTACAAACCGCGAGGCTACTCCTAAAATGTGGAGTCGACGTTAATAAAATCAATAGCAGCAATATGTCGGCGCTCTATTTCGCAACAATGAATGGTCACCATGAGATTACGAAGCTGCTCCTGGAAAACAAAGCTGATCCTAATGAAGTTGATGAAGAGTGCATTACTCCGCTAATGTTGGCAGCAGCGTCAGGTGATGCGCAAACCGTAAAGCTCCTCTTAGAACACGGAGCCGACGTCAATAAAAGTAATATTAGAAACATGACGGCGCTATGTTTGGCTACCATGTATGATCATCACCAGATTACGAAGCTCCTCTTAGAACATGGTGCAGACGTCAGTCAAAGGACGAAAGACAACTGGACGGCGCTTCACTACGCTACAGAGAATGGTCTTCACGTGATTACAAAGCTCCTTCTCGAAAAGAAAGCTGATCCTAATGCAAGAGACGAAAATGGCATTACTCCGCTAATGATGGCAGCAACAGTAGGTGATGAGCAATCCACGCAGCTTCTCTTAGATCATGGAGCTGACGTCACTCAAAAGACAAAGGTCAACCGCACGGCGCTTCACTACACCGTAGCTAAAGGTCATCACGAGATTGCGAAGCTCCTTCTCGAAAGGAGAGCTGATCCAAACGCAGTGCACGAAGAGGGGATCACTCCGCTAATGATGGCAGCTGCGGCAGGTGATGCGCAATGCACGGAGCTTCTCTTAGAACATGGAGCTGACGTCAGTCAAATGGACAAGGAACACTGGACGGCCCTCCACTTCGCGACAATGGATGGTCATCACGAGATTATGAAGCTCCTCCTCGAAATGAAAGCTGGTCATGACAGAGCTGTCGAAGTAGTCGTCACACCGCTAATGATCGCTGTTTGGGTGGGAAACGCGCAATCCACGCAGCTACTCCTAGATCATGGAGCAGACGTCAGCCAAACGGATGGGGAAAAGTGGACAGCGCTCCACTACGCTACAATGAACGGTCATCTTGAAATTATGAATATCCTCCTCGAAAGCAAAGCTGATCCCAATTCAGCAGACAGGCAGGGCGTCACTCCGCTAATGATGGCAAAAATGGCGGGAGATGCGCAATCCATGACGTTATTCTTAGAACATGGAGCGGACGTCAAAAGACAAAGGGCAACCGAACAGCTTTCCACTACACGATACTGAATATTCATTACGAGATTTCGAAGCTCCTTCTCGAAAGCAATGCTGATCCAAATGCGATAGACAAAGAGGGCGTTACTTCGCTAATGACGTCAGCACAGACGAGTAATCCGGAATTTCTCTTAGAACATGGCGCCGACGTCAAGCAGAGGGACAAAAACAATTGCACAGCGCTCAATTGGACTATAGAGAGTAGTCATGCAGAAGTTGCGAATTTCGCCCTCAAAAGCAAAACTGATCCCAATGCAGACCAGCTGATCAGAATGCAGGGAGAGAGTGTCCCTCCGCTAATGATGGCAGCAATGACGGGGCATGCGCAATCAACGTAGTTTGCTTTTTGAACATGGCCCCGACATCTGGATGGAGTGCAACCGAACAGCAATCTACTAAGCTATGAATGGTAATCATCAGACTACGAAGCTCCTCCTCGAAAGCAAAGCTGATCGTAATGCAGTATGCAAAGAAAAACGTTACTCCGCTAATAATACAGGTTTTCTTCACAACAAATCTAGTTCGTTTTTTTGTACTGAATTCACATAAGTACTCAGAACTTTTCCATCAGGCAGGTTTTTTTTTGTGACGGCTATTTTTTTAAAAAACCTGCTTTTAACATTCCTTTTCACCTGTCATATGAAACTTTATCTTACATATAGCTATTTTATTCAAGCTGTATGTAAGGAAATTATATGTAATATCATGTTGATAATATTTCGTACCTTTATGTTTAGAACTGTACTGTGGTGTATCATTTATAGTTTTATAATATATGTGAAAATAAAATACAATACAAAGAAAGGAAATGCAGGTCGTAAGAGGCGATAGAGGGACCTGTGCAGGGAAGACCCTTATGAGTCAACTGTAGGATATTTATTACACGAGCGGCCAGCGGACTCGACGACCCTTACCCCCCCCCCCCCCCCCCCGACCTTGTCCTACTCCAAAAGAAGCCATTTCCACAGTCGCGGCCCATTAGCACGCTGAATAGAAATAGTCGGTTCAAAATAATTGCTACTGGTTGAAATCCGGAACGAGTTAAGCGGCCCGTAAATACCTCTTAGCGCATAACAACAGGCATCCAAAAATTAGACACGGGCACGTGTTCTCCCAGGGCGAGAGAGGGCAAAGTGCGCGGTTAAGAACCAAAATTTCATGGGATCCATGCGAAATCACGTTAGAATAAAAAAAAAAAGAAACAGCGACCACTATTGGATGAGAACAAGAGAGGGCGGAGTCGAAATTTGCGTAGATGGAATAGGATTCTGCAGCTGAGCACTTGACGAGTGATCGCATTAAAAGGAGACGAACGACAGACGAATGATAGACTTACTAGGCTTCCCAGAGAGCTGAGGTTAGAGAGACTCGCAAAATTTCGCGAAGACCGAACGTATCAGAATTCGGTGAATTTTCTCCGCCGCTGATGTTCGAGGGAGTACCTGGTTACGAGTGAGAAATACCAGTGTGTCACGTTTGCTGCATTGAACTTCTCATAGCGAGCTGTACTCACATACGTGATTTCAGAGGAAAGTTACTAAATTCAGTATGTTCCATTTTTTCCCCTTAAGTACTGAACCCGAGCACTGTACTGCAGATAGTGCCGCACTATGATGCGTACTGCATCACATACGTGATTTCAGAGAAAAAGCGACTTAATTAAGTTTTTTCCTTTTTTTTTAAATAAATTACTTAACTCGAGCACTATTTTATTTCTCGCATATTTCCTAAATTATTACTCGGATTGAAGTCTGATTTGCTCCAATGAACTTCTCATGGCGAGCTGTACTCACATACGTGATTTCAGACATATACGACTAAATTAAGTTCTTTTTTCCTTTTTACTTCCCAATTTCGGGTTTTGGGCTTCATCTGTATGCATGCGTTAAATTACAAAACTAATAGTCAGATTAACGTCTGGTTTGACCAACTGAATTTCTCGTACTGAGGTGTACTTACATACGTGATTTCCAAAAGATAGTACGAAATTATTTTTTTCCAATTTTTCCTCCAATTCCGGGTTTTGGGCTTCATTTGTATTCTTGCGTTTAATTCCGAAACTAGTAGTCGGATTGACGTCTGGTTTTTAACATTATTTTTCCCGTCCAGAGGTGTACTTACATACGTGATTTAAAAAAGATAGATCGAAATTGAGTTTTTCCCCATTTTTTCACCCACTTTCGGAATTTGGGCTTCATTTGTATTCATGCATTTAATTCCGAAACTAATAGTCGGATTGAGAACCGCTTTGCACCATTGAATTCCTCGTCAAGAGTTGTACTTACCCAGGTGATTTCAGAAAGATAGATCGAAATTGAGTTTTTTCCCATTTTTTCACCCACTTTCGGAATTTTGCTTCATTTGTATTCATGCATTTAATTCCGAAACTAATAGTCGGATTGAGGTCCGCTTTGCACCTTTGAATTCCTCGTCAAGAGTTGTACTTAACAACGTGATTTCAGAAAGATAGTTTGAAATTAAGTTTTTTCCCATTTTTTCACCCAATTTCGGATTTTGGGCTTCATTGTATTCATGCGTTAATTTCCGAAACTAATAATCGGATTGAGGTCCGCTTTGCACCAATGAATTCCTCGTCAAGAGATGTACTTTTTATACGTGATTTCAGAAAGATAGTTCGAAATTAAGTTTTTCCCCATTTTTTCACCCAATATCGGAATTTGGGCTTCTTTGCATTTATGCAAATAAAACCGAAACTAATAGTCTGATTGAGGTCCGCTTTGCACCATTGAATTCCTCGCCTAGAGTTGTACTTACCCACGTGATTTCAGAAAGATAGATCGAAATTAAGTTTTTTCCCATTTTTTCACCCACTTTCGGAATTTGGGCTTCATTTGTATTTATGCAAATAAAACCGAAACGAAACTACTAGTCGGATTGGAGTTCTGCTTTGCAACCATTGGAATTCCTCGTCAAGAGTTTTACTTACTAGTGTTTCAGAAAGATAGTTGAAAGTAAGATTTTACCATTTTTCACCCAATTTTCGGATATTGGTTAATTTTTATTTTATGCTAAATAAAACGGAAGTAATAGTCGGATTGAGTTCCGGTTGCACCATTGATTCTCGTCAAGAGTTGTACTTACCCTACGTGATTTCAGAAGATAGTTCGAAATTAAGTTTTTTCCATTTTTTCACCCAATTTCGGATTTGGGTTCATTTGTATTTTATGCATAAACCGAAACTAATAGTCGGATTGAGTTCCGGTTTGCACCATTGAATTCCTCGTCAAGAGTTTTATTACCTACGTGATTTCAGAAAGATAGTTCGAAATAAGTTTTTTTCCCATTTTTTCACCCAATTTAGGATTTTGGGCTTCATTTGTATTTATGCAATAAAACCGAAACTAATAGTCGGATTCGTTCCGGTTTGCACCAATTGAATTCCTCGTCAAGAGTTGTACTACCTCGTGATTTCAGGAAAGATAGTTCGAAATTAAGTTTTTTTCCCATTTTTTCACCCAATTTAGGATTTTGGGCTTCATTTGTATTTATGCAAAATAAAACCGAAACTAATAGTCGGATTAGTTCCGGTTTGCACCATTGAATTCCTCGTCAAGAGTTGTACTACCTACGTGATTTTAGAAGATAGTTTCGAAATTAAGTTTTTTTTCCCATTTTTTTTCACACCCATTTAGGATTTGGCTTCATTTGTATTTATGCAAATAAAACGAAACTAATAGTCGGATTGAGTTCGCTTTGCACCATTGAATTCCTCGTCAAGAGTTGTACTTACCTACGTGATTTCAGAAAGATAGTTCGAAATTAAGTTTTTCCATTTTTCACCCCAATTTAGGATTTTGGGCTTCATTTGTATTTATGCAAATAAAACCGAATATAATAGTCGATTGAGTTCTGCTTTGCACCATTGAATTCCTCGTCACGATGTTTGTACTTACCTACGTGATTTCAGAAGATAGTTCGAATTTAAGTTTTTTTTTCCATTTTTTCACCCAATTTCGGATTTGGGGCTTCATTTGTATTTATGCAAATAAAACCGAAATAATAAGTCGGATTTGAGTTCCGGTTTGCACCATTGAATTCCTTCGTCAAGAGTTGTCACTACCTACGTGATTTCAGAAAGATAGTTCGAATTAAGTTTTTTTCCCATTTTTTTCACCCAATTTCGGATTTTGGGCTTCATTTGTATTTATGCAATAAAACCGAAACTAATAGTCGGATTGAGTTCGGTTGCACCATTGAATTCCTCGTCAGAGTTGTAATTACCTACGTGATTTCAGAAAGATAGTTCGAAATTAAGTTTTTTCTCATTTTTCACCCAATTTAGGATTTTGGGCTTCATTTGTATTTATGCAAATTAAAACAAACTAATAGTTGGATTGAGTTCCGGTTTTGCACCATTGAATTCCTCGTCAAGATTTGTACTTACCCTCGTGTTTTCAGAAAGATAGTTTCGAAATTAAGTTTTTCCATTTTTTTCACCCAATTTCGGATTTTGGGCTTCATTTGTATTTATGCAAATAAAAACCGAAACTAATAGTCGGATTGGAAGTTCTGCTTTTGCACCATTGAATTCCTCGTCAAGAGTTTTACTTACCTACGTGATTTCAGAAAGATAGTTCGAAATAAGTTTTTCCATTTTTTCACCCAATTTCGGATTTGGGCTTATTTGTATTTATGCAAATAAACCGAAACAATAGTCGGATTGAGTTCCGGTTGCACATTGAATTCCTCGTCAAGAGTTGTACTTACCACGTGATTTCAGAAAGATAGTTCGAAATTAGTTTTTTTCCCATTTTTTTCACCCAATTTCGGATTTTGGGCTTCATTGTATTTATGCAAGTAAAACCGAAACTAATATGTCGGATTGAGTTCCGTTTGCACCAATTGAATTCCTCGTCAAGAGTTTTACTTTACCTACGTGATTTCAGAAAGATAGTTCGAAATTAAGTTTTTCCACATTTTTTCACCCAATTTAGGATTTTGGGCTTCATTTGTATTTATGCAAATAAAACCGCAACTAGATAGTCGGATTG